GGGATCCATAAGGGGGTTCCAAAAGGGCTCCATAAGGGGTCCTATAAAGTATCTAGAAGGGGTCAATCAGGGGTCATGCTTGGAGGTTCATGGGTATATAGTTATAAGTGGAGTTATAAGTCCCCCCCAATATAAGTTATGACTTTACTTACCCTACTTATAACCTTCAAGTATACCTTAAATTATAGTGGGATCCCAAATATGATTTAAGGTATATTCCTTAATCAACTGATATTGGAGTCTCTGGGTTGCGAACCCTTACTTAGAGGTTCATGGGTAGTTATAAGTAGGGTTATACTTCTAAGTAGGGTAAGTTAAGTTATAACCTATATTAGTGGCCTTATAACTCCACTGATAGCTACCCGTGAACCTCCAAGTGTAGGCCGGCAAGACGTTTTTGTCATCCTTGTGCTACCTTTTCCCTTTGTTTCGTTCTGGCGTGGGCGCAGGTAAGGATAATACAGGGGCCTAAATAACTACGAATACTATTTTGGGGGTTCCTCATTATAAATATAGTATAAAGGGTCCCAAAACCGTAGTCTAATTATTAAGGCCCCTACATTAGTTTATAGAGGCCTTACTGATTGGAACAGGGTTTGGCGGTAGTGTAGGTTGAGTTGAATAAAATTATAAGCGGGTGCCATTACGAAACATGCCGATCCCTATAGTATCCGCCATGAGGCCGTCAACCCTGAACCCTAGATTCTAAACCGTGCAAGCCGCGCGCTTCTTAGAGACTCCTTCTAAGGGTGGCGATCGCTGTGCGGCATACGCGAATGCTTCGGCATCTGTCGGGGACCTATGGCATCTTTGGGTGACACTCTGTCTTTGTGCGTTTGTGGGACGGAACGGAGTAGGAGGAAGTGGAGGCGGAAGACTGCTGCTATTCTGCATGCTCGTCTTTGCTTGGTTCTTGCAATACTTTCCAGATGTTATAATACTTGTTTATATATTTTCTCTCTCAAAAATTGTCCTCCATAGTGCCATGGTTGCGATCATTATCATTGCTTGCCTTCTTCTGCCCGAAGCCCGACTGACAGGAGCAGCCGGGCACAACTCTTCTCGAATGGTCCGTGTGGGAGAGCAAGCGCGGCTGCTTCATCGCCGACCCGGAGGCAACTAGGGTTCGAGCCTGGAGGGTTTAGGGTTTCGGGTTTAGGGTTTAGGGTTTTTGGGACAAGGTTCTTGGGTAGTTTCTTTTAGATTACGATTCCCTTTTGGGTCCTCGTTATAAGGGTGCCGCGCAAGTTGGGGACCTAACCAGGAACCCTAATTTCGAGAACTACCGATTTGGGTTTTGGAGGGATTGGCGGGCGTTGAGAGGGTTTAGAGCAGTGGTTCCAGCAGCGGAAGAGAACCAGAGGGATTGGACTTCAACCCGCGCCTCTTGATCCCAAAGCCCGCCCCTTTGTCCTGAACTTCATACTTCATACCGCAAAGCCCTAAGCCCCAAACGCTAGCAAACCCTAAGCCATCACAACTCTTTGGGAAGTTGGGGGATGGAGAGATGTTCGAGTCCAGTGGGTTCCGCTTTAAGACGGAAGGCATGAGAAGTGCAGTAGATTTCGGGATTTCGTTTCTGAATGCAGGGATTCAGTAGTTGGCTCAAGGATGAAGCAAGTGAGCCCTAAACCACACCTCCAACAATCCTCAAATACCTAAGCCTTAGTGGAAAAGCCTTTACATTAACCCTCGAACCGCAATGCAGATTGCCCAGGAAACTTGGTAAGTGGTGTTATAAGGCAGAGATACCCACAGTCCTAAACACTAAACCCTAAACCTTAAAACCCTAAAACAAACACTCAGAGTAGAGTATTTGGGACCTAGAACCTATTGCCCAGGGTCGCCGAAGCCAAGAGCTTTGCTTCCCAACACTTCCCCCCTCTACTTCGAACCTTGCCTGTTAAGCTAGGTTTGGGGCTTAGAGTTTAGGGTCTAGGGCTTAGTCTAGGCCATTTTCAGGTTGGTAGTTACCGTTTTATGAGCCTTATAGAAGGTCTATATAGCTTATGGAAGCCTTATAGAAGCCCTACATACTCTAAACTCCCCACCTGCAGTCTCCTTCAACTTAGGGGTTTAGGGTTTAGGGTGTAGGGTTTATATGGGTGGTTGTCAAAATTATGGTCCCTTTTTGGGTCCTTATTATAATACGGCACCTATCATTTAGGGTACCCCAAAAAAGGACCCTAATTTTGACAACCACCCATATAGGTAGATCATTGGTCCCACCGTCTTCAAGCCTCCGCCAGAGGACCAGTCAGCCAAAGCAAAAGCCTTAGGGTTTAGGGTTTAGGGCAGAGTTCAGGGTTTAGGATTTAGGGTTTAGGGTTTAGGGTTTAGAGTTTAGAGTTTAGAGTTTAGGGTTGAGAGTTTAGGGTTTGAACCCCCGCTGGTCAGGGTGTTTATAGCCTCGTCACGGCTGGACACATAGCAACATGAGAACCTAGGTAGCTATGTGGAGCGGACTGTTCTTTGGATTGAAGAATTAAATCCGTGCTATGAGGACTGAACAGTAGATTCATACTACTGTTGATGATATAAATCCTGCATTACCTTAAGGACCGTAAACAGTAAACTACGGGAATTATGGTATACTCCTTATTCTGGGTACTGCGGGATTTATATCACCAGCCGCATCACTCCAATTAAAAACTAGATAGCTATGGGCAGCAGGCATTCCTACCGAGCTCATCGTTCAGTTCTCCGAACCTCCCAGCAAGCCCTCCTGACTCCTCCACATTGAAACACACAGCCTCGTCGGCCCTAAAGCTTGAACCCGCAACCTCAAGCCCCAACCCACAAAAATCTTAAGCCTCAAGCCCTAAACTGATCCTAAACCTTGAAGCCTGAACCTAAGATCCTCCTCCCCTGATGCCGCCTCCATCCGCCCCTTTCTCTGGAGGTGAGATGTACTACGGCCCCCGTGGCGCTGCAGGTGCTCTGCCGGCCTACAGCTTTCGGGTTCAGGGTTAATGTACCGTAGGGGCCTTAGTAATTAGAGTAGGGTTTTTGCGGCGCTCTTTATTATAATTATAATAGACCATACCTCAAACCCTACTCAAATTATTAAGGCCCTTTATTGGCAGGGTTTAGGCTTGAGGTCGAAGGTTTGATGTTGAATGGTGAGATACAACAGCCAAAACCGTTGACACCTGAGTGCGAAGCTATCTGTCGACTCCGTACACGTATATACACCGTGAACCCTAAACCCTAAACCGTACATACACACATCCTGTGATTCCCGGATATGCCGAGGTTTGCGGCCGTGCTCGGCGGGAGAATGAGTCCGGAACTCGCTTGCGTGGCGTCTTCCGGTTTGGGGCGGGGTTATAGAACCCTAAACCCAAAGCCCTGGGCTCTAAACTTTAAACCTTACACCCTAAACCCTAGACTCTGAATCCTAAACCTTAAACTTAAACCCTAAACCGTGGCGGATGCAAGTATTTGGGGCTTCGGGCTTTGGGGCTCTGCCCCGCAGGTCTTCTGGCTAGGTAGGCTACTTGGAGGTTCCTGGGCAGTTATACGTGGAGTCATAAGTCCCTTAATATAGGTTTATAACTATAGCCACCCTACTTATGACCCTACTTGCAACTACCCATGAACCTCCTAGAAGTGCTCCTGGATTGCAACTACTTTGGAAAAGTGATGAAGAAGCCCTGGCGCTATAACCTCAGTATATTCGGATACAAAAAAAGAACCCTGACAAAAGGCCAAGGGTTTCTTAGTCAGGTTCCTATATTGCATATATCATTTCATATTCCCCGTTACAATCAACGAAGCCCGAAGCCGCAAAAACTCAAAGGTTCATCAACGGTGACTACCAGCTTGCCGGAATCCACTTGGGTCGCCGGGGAGCCTGGATGCCGGTGGCCTGTAGGGCTTCTGAGCCCGCAGGGTTGAGGGTAATTAAGTTTCTTCTTTTTGTTTTCAAGAGGGTTTGTAAGGACGACGTTTTTTTTTAAAATTACGTGTGTTTAGGGTTTCAGGGTTCAGGGTTTAGAGTTTGGGGTTTAGGGTTTACGGGGGTTTAGGACTCAGGGTTCAACGGGCACAAGTGTTCAGAGGCTTTGGAACAGTCTGAGGAGGCTTTCAGGGGCTTCGAACGGCTAAAACAGGTTTTCTGGGGGTGTAGGCGAACCCTGGACCCTAAGTCCTAAGTCCTAAGACCCTAAGTCCTAAACCCCAAACCCTAAGTCCTAAACCCTAAACCCAAAGTCCTAAACCCTGAACTTGCAGAACCCTGAGTCCTTAACAAAAGTTCAGGTTTGATGGTGCTAGGAATCGCAGGGTCTTGAAAGGCACGGGGTTGCTAGGTTAAGTCTCTGGGTCTCGGGGTTTAGGAGTTTAGAGATTTAGGGTTTAAGGCTCCTGGGTTGGGGTTTTGGGGTTTAGGGTTTAAGGCTTTGGGTTGAGGGGGTTTGGGAGTTTAGGGATTTAGGGCTTGGGGTTTAGGGTTTAGGGGTTTAGGGTTTAGGGCTTAGGGTTTAGGGAATGTTGAGGACAACCTTGTAACAGAAAGCTGCAAACCAAGCCCAAAAGCAGAGAATCAGAAGCTTACATGTTGTTATGTATGTCAGAGTGCACGACTGTGCATTGCATTCTATGCCGCCTCACAGTACTGCAGTCTGTGGTGCAGGGCTTTGCATTACGTATCCTTTGATGGCATGATTTTGGGTTTTTCTACAGGCTGGATGATGTTCCATAGCACGGCATAAAACATGCTCTTTTTCTCTGTTGCTACGCAATAGATGCCGCAAACATTCTATTGTACTCTATAGGGGCGACAAATGAAATTTCTCACTTTTCTGAGCCCGATGCCATTAGCCGTTGCTCTCGCATCATCTGTTGCTGTATTAGGGATGGAATATACGCTAGTTCCTATAGTTTAGAGTCCTTAAGGTACTGCAGGGTTTTTTATCATCAACAGTATTATGAATCTACTGTTCAACCCTAAACCCTAAATCCTAAACCCTAAGCCCTAAACCTGCATCCAAGAGCTGTGCCCGAGGGGTCTTCTACCACAAGCCGGGGAGTCAGACCGTGATCCGATTCTGGCCCCCGAGGCTGGGAAGATGTGGGAGGTTCAGACTAAACCCTAAACCCTAAACCCTAAAACCTAATCCCTAAACCCTAAACCCTAAATCCAAAACCCTAAACCCTAAACCCTGAACTCATGAAGGTGGCTCCGCCCCCAAAAAGCTGGGATCCTAGGCACCCCTTCAGCCTAATGCCCTCGACCCTATACGTGCAACCGAACAGGGCAGGGCTTCCAGCAAGTTTGACAAGGCTTTGGGTTTGGGCTATCCCCTATAAACGTTTCAGAAACAACTCCTGAGATGAGGGTTTTGGGGCCGCTCGCTCGCCGGGTTCGGGTTTTAGGGTTTTTTGCTTTCAGGTTTTGGGCTCTTAGGGTTTAGGCTTTAGGGTTGTTGCAGGGGATCGGGTCTGGGAATTTCTAGAGGGTAGCTGCCACCTCAGCAACCCCCTAAACACTAAGCCCTAAACTTGTGACTTCAGAGTGTCACCAGGGAGCCCAGGGTCCCGAAACCAAGGTGGCCACGAGAATTCGGGGCTGTGTAAATCGTAGGTTTTAGGGTTTGGGGTTTAGGGGGTGCAAGCTGCAGCTAACGAGTTGAGCGCAGAGTTGAACAACTGGACCCAACGTTCATGGGCTGGTTTAGTTGCATGTTGTGATATGCAGCTTGAAGCTGAAACTGTTGAGGAACCGTTGGCTGATCGATGGCAACGGCCTTCAGCCATCGGATGCCGTGCTCCCAGCAGGAAGGTCTTTCTCTACTTTTCGAAGTCGTAAGGCCTTGAGGGTCGAGGAAATGTCGAGGGTTTAGGGTTTAGGGGTTTAGTGTTTAGGGTTTAGGGTTTAGGGTTTAGGGTTTAGGGTTTAGGGTTTAGGGTTTAGGGTTCAGGGCCAGGAGTTTGAGGTCCAAGACTGCCTCGGGTACGCAGCAACTTACGTTATGAATCCTAAACCCTAAACCCTACACCCAGCAGCATCCTTTCAGCGAAACCAACTACCAGAAGCCCTGCTTGGAGGTTCATGGGTAGTTATAAGTGGAGTTACAAGTCCTCCAAGATAGGTTATAACTTCGGTTATAACTATAGTAAACCCTAAACCGTAAACCCTAAACCCCAGACCCCTAAACCCTAAACCCTAAACCCTACTTATAACCCTACTTATATGCACCCATGAACCTCCAGGGGGGGGGGGGAAGGTGCTTTCGGACCCCGCCTCCACTCACTTCCGGGGCCGTGTTTCAGGAGTGCAGCTGGTGACTGCCCATTCTGGCATCAATATACCTCTGTATACATATATATATATATATATATTTATTATAAGCTCTCTCTAATCTCTCTCTCTCTATACATATATATATATATATATATAAGAGACTTACATACATACATATATATATATATATATATGTACATGTATACACGCACACATAGATGGTCCTTGAACCCTGAACTGTAGATGCATGTGCGGTCTGTCTCTCTTTCTCTCCTCATCCCCTGTTTGTCTCTCTCTCTCTCTCTTTCTCTCTACCTCCTCGACTCCTACACTCCTGCACGACACCCCGAAGCTTTGCCTGTCACACGTATAGGGGGCAGGCTTGAGGATGTAGGGTTGAGGGGTACGTGGATTCATGAAAGAGAGTAACTGCATGAGAACTTTGGTAGGCATCTCGAGCAAAGACTGGCTAGAGTAATAAATTTAGAAGCCTATATAATTACCCATATTGCTGTATCATTGATACTACTACTATAAGGGAGCCCAAAACCCTGTTCTAATTATTAAGGCCCCTACACTATGCGTTGTTGTCTCAGGGTTTTAGGTAATGATATCTCCGAAGCAGAGTCTAAACCCCAAACAGTCCCCAAACCCTAAACCCTAAACCCTGTAATCCTTAAGCTCCAAACCCTAAACCTCTAAACGCTAAACCCTTGAAACTTCAAACCCTAAACCTCCAAACCCCGTAAGTCCTAACCTTTAAACTCTAAGCCCCTATGTTATGAAGGCTTGCTCAGCGTTTGCCGACTGCACCACGGACGGCGAATATCCGGGAGACCTCAGTCGCTTGCCCGTTTTTAGCTTAGGGTTACCCAAAAGGGTACTTTTCGGGTTCCTTTAACGGGATCCATAAGGGTTCTCCAAGGGTTTAGGGTTTTAGGGTTTAGGGGTGCAGGGTTTAGGGTTTAAGGCTGGAGGGTCTAAGGGGTCTAGGGGCTATGCTCCTGGGTTTGCAACGGCTTGGAAACCCTAAACCCCAAACCCTAAACCCTAAACCCTAAACCCTAAACCCTAAACCCTAAACCCCAAACCCTAAACCCTAAACCGTTAATCTGCTGAGAGAAGAAGGACAAAGTCCGTCCGGTTGACATAATTTCATATCCCCTATAGAACCCTGGTAGATCCCTTAAAAACCCCAAACCCTAAACCCTGAAACCCCTATACCCCAAACCCTAGACCCTAAACCCTAAACTCTATACCCTGAACCCTAAACGCTGAGTCGAAGGGAGAATCTATGACAGGCTGAGAGGGTGGATCCTCGAAGGCACGAGGTTGAGGCACACGAGGGCTTTGGGTTTAGGGTTCAGGGCTTGTTTAGGATATTAGGGTATTAGGGTTTAAGGTTTAGGTTTTAGGGTTTAGGGATTAGGGTTTAGGGTTGAGGTTTCTGTGGTACATCGCTCCGGGTCTTGTTGTGGAATCTTTTGAACAGTGACCCAGATCGCTCCTTCCAGTTGATTGCTTTCTGCAAGACCAAACCCTAAACCCTAAACCCTAAACCTAAACCCTAGACCCGACTATCGTCGCCAAACCTGCCCCAGTGCTATTCTCGAGCGACTCAATCCCTGAACCCGACATCCAAATGGGTAGTTCTCTAAGTTAGCGTCCCTTTTAGGGAAATGCGGAATGATTGTTTTTTTTTGAAGGTTTGGGGTCTTTTTTGTTATAAGAGTGCCGTACTATATTGGGGACTTATAAAGAAGGACCCTAACTTAGAGATCTACTATAGAAGTGCTGCACCCAGCCCCGAAAAGCAGGTTTCAGTTTAGGGTTTAGGGTTTAGGGTTTAGGGTTTAGGGTTTAGGGTTCAGCCCCGGCCCAGCCCCAAGTCAGCAGTCCCGGTCCCTGTCCCAACCGGCCAGCCCCGGATTCAAAATCTAGGGTTTCCTTTAAAGGGTACTATAGGGTTTCCTTTAAAGGGTACTATAGGGTTTCCTTTAAAGGGTACTATAGGGTTTCCTTTCAAGGGTACTATAGGGTTTCCTTTAAAGGGTACTATAGAAAAACGTTTCGGTCAAAACGTATCGGTCAAAACTTATTGGCACCCAAACCCTTAACAATTTCTGTCGTTTCCGCGAAGGGTTTAGGGTTTGGGCTCCAGGTTTTCAGTTGTAGGGCTAGGCTACAGGATCATAGAAAAGGGTTTAGGGCTTACCCTAAACCCTAAACCCTAAACCCTAAACCCTAAACCCTAAACCCTAAACCCTAAACCCTAAACCCTAGATTGTGAGTCCTGTGCCATATTCCAGTTTCGTTTCACAGCCCAGCCCAGCCCCCCAACCTGGCCCAGCCCGGCCCCAAATTCAAAATCAGGCTCCTAAAAACCAAAACTTTCGGTGAAAACGTTTGGGTCAAAACTTGCTGTCAGAACTTGGGCACCCAAACCCTGAACAGTTTCTAGAAACCCTAAACCCTAAACC